TTCTTTCTTTTTTCTCTTACTGTCCTTGAGTTCTTTATTTGATTGTCAGCTTAGTCATTGTTGCTGTAGCAGTGCTACTGATTTGTGTACATTGATTTTGTATCCTGAGACTTTACTGAATTTATCAAATCTAGGAGTCTTATGGAGGAGTCTTCAGGGTTTCTAGGTATTTGATTGTATAATTGGCAAACAGAGATAGTTTGACTTCCTCTTTTTTATTTTGGATACTCTTAATTTCTTTCTCTTTCCTGATTGCTCTGGCTAGGACTTCCAGTTTTGGTCTTTTAAACAAACCTTAAAAGATGGCTAAACTAAGAGATGGGGAGTATATTCATCTATGACTTTTCCTCTGCTGCTCTGTCTCTTATGCTATATACTAATTTATTAGCCAATAAATATCTAAGAACCTGGCTGCTCAGTGTTCAGTAAATAATAGCCTAGTTGAAATACCTTGTTGGAATATGGGACCTTTATCTCAAAGTGGAATGTCTCATTTTTCTCACCATGCTTAGTTGTCATGTCTTTATGATTGTATTAGGGGCTATTTTACTATTTCTGTTTCTGTTTGTGTTATATGTTGATGTGTATTATGTCAGTTAAGCCTAATAAAAGATCCTATTAGAGACCCAAGGAAGTACAATTGTCACCATTTGAGATATAAGAAAACAAAGGCTCAAGGTGTGAAATTCCTACCCTGAGGTAAGAGTTCTCTTAAGTGCTGTAGCCTCAGGGAGGGACCTCTTTAGCATGTCAGACTGATTTGTTTGACATCACAGAGCAATGCAGTGTAGTATCAAGTTTCAGTCCCTGTGTATCCTACAGTTATCTCATTTTTCTACCCAAACAGGTTCTTATTCATTGACCAACATCAAATAGGACATATGCTCAAGAGGGTGAAGGAAATAGAAATGTGTAAGATAAATCTTACTGTGCCTAGATACTTTCTACGTAGGCACAGGGAAAGGGGACATAGTTTAAAAATATGTATTTACATATGAGTAGAGTACAACATATACTAGAGGCCAAGGCCCTTGTTCTCAAAGCACTTAGATTCTGGTAAGCCAAAAACATTCTCGACTGTCAAGTACAGAGTGACATATCCATTAATTACAGAGTGTGTGTCAACTGAAAATATTTTGAGGTATTGGCTTTCAGTGAATTCTGATAAACTTTATCTCTTACACACATCTTTGGCTCAGGAGTAAAGAATTTGTAACATCAAATATGTTAACTAATAATCAGCCAGCTATCAGTAATCATAATGAAAATCATGTGTTGTCATTATGGCATTTTTCTATCTTAGGAAATGCAGCTCTTTCTTCACTACTATTGCCGTATGTTTAAAGGAAAAGAATTACTCTTATGTGACCCAGTTCACACCTTGTCAAATCCTTTTACTCGGTATGTGAGCCAATTACAAAGGGCTTGTTTTTACGAATGTGCTTGCCCATCAGTCCAAAAGTACCGCTGAAACCAGAAATATTTTCTTAAAATGTAATCTTCCAAACATGGCATTCTGGTAGCATAACCATATATTGTGATTTTAAAAAATGCTCAACATTTCATAGCCTATGGAAGAATCTCATTTTTCCTCAGGCCTATGGCAGTTCTCAATAATTTTATGAGATGTAGTATTGACTATATCAAGTTGAAGAAAGGTCACAGATCTCCATGTAAGAATTTGTAAGTGATTAGAAAATAAAAAAGAACAATAAATGTAATGAAACATATTATAAGGAAAGTGTTTTCTGTATCAGTTCATTAGTTTTCAAAGCCCAGCAGCATGAAATTAATACGATTTCTACCAGCAAATCATCTCTCCAATGTTTTTTCTTTTTTCCCCCTCTTTTCTTAGATTGAAAAAGAAAAAACAAGCCAAACAAAATGCAGAGACAGCCTCAGCTATGGCTACAAGGACTCATACTGGGAAGGAGGATGCCAATACAGTAGTTTTAGAGCCAGACAAGTGCAACATTGCTGTGGAAGAGGAATATATGACTGATGAGAAGAAAAAGAGAAAAAGTAATCAGTTAAAGGAGATTAGGCGTACAGAACTAAAGAGATATTATAGTATCGGTGAGTATTCATGGCGTTACTGCAGTATTTTCATTTAAAAAGCCTATAAGAATTCTTAAAAGGCTATCATTTGTGATGGATCATAATAATGGTAACAGTTTGTGGAGCAGCTGCTATGTGCCCCTGGCCCTTGCTTTATATACATAATCTTGTGTAAGGGGATCACACTAAAATAATGTCTCATTTAAATTTGTGTTCCCAGCATTTAACACAGTGCCCAGCATGTATTGTGTACTAATAAACGTTTATCTGAAGAAGAGTCACTTTCTCTTTATGAGAAATATTTTTCTCAACGTATGTAGACATATTCATAAATATGCCGATAGAAATGCCTGTACTTTTTGTCATTTGCTAGACAGTAGAAAATGGAGGAGACATGGCCTAGCATCTGTCAGTTAAAAAAAAAAAAAAAAAGCCCTAGGAGTCTTTTTTTTTTTTTTTTTTGACAAGGAGTCTTGCTCTGTTGCCTAGGCTGGCGTGCAATGGCATGACCTCGGCTCGCTGCAACCTCTGCCTCCCAGGTTCAAGCAATTCTTCTGCCTCAGCCTCCTGAGTAACTGGGACTGCAGGCGCCCGCCACCACTCCTGGCTAATTTTTTGTATTTTTAGCAGATGGGGTTTCACCATGTTGACCAGGCTGGTCTTGAATTCCTGACCTCAGACACTTGGGAGTCTTAAAGGGAATCTTGAAATGAGTCCACAGTGTTACATAGTTTCTCAGAACAACCCCTGCATCTGAAACTACATTCGCAGAAGTGGCATATCTAGCTTGACCTGAATCATCCATCTCATACCTACTGTTATATCACATACACCCATGGATTTTCTTTCAAAGAGAATGCAAATAAATGAAATAAATAAAGGGTACCAGGAATCAGAACTTGGCATGGTATACAGGTTATGGCATAGTTGAGATTGCTAGGAAAGGGAGAGAAAACTGAGAGCAGTATCTGAGAACACACTGCAAATACGGTAAATGAAATATGGTTTTGTAGCAGAGCAATGACACTTGTTCTGAGCTACCCTCAAGTTGGTCCTAGTTAATACCAAAGTTACAGGAAGACATACGTTTATGTCTCCATGGTTTTTTTAATTTTATTTATTTATTTTATTTATTTACTTATTTATTTTGAGATGGACTCTCACCCTTCGCCCAGGCTGGAGTGCAGTGGCCCGATCTCGGCTCACTGCAAGCTCTGCCTCCCGGGTTCATGGCATCCTCCTGCCTCAGCCTCCCCAGTAGCTGGGACTACAGGTGCCTGCCACCACGCCCAGCTAATTTTTTGTATATTTAGTAGAGATGGGGTTTCACCATGTTAGCCAGGATGGTCTCGATCTCGACCTCGTGATCTACCCTCCTCGGCCTCCCAAAGTCCTGGGATTACAGACATGAGCCACCACACCTGGCCGTGTCTCCATGTTTAATGTAACCTTCCAACAGTGTTAGAAGACATATGGCATGGCATGCAGGTCATGGCATACTTGAGATTGCTGGGAAAGGAGAGAAAGCAAAGGGCAGTTACTGAGAACACACAGAATACGGTAAATGAAATGTGGCCTTGTAGCAGAGCAATGACACTTGTTCTGGGGTGCCCTAAACTTGGTCCTAGTTAATGCCAAAGTTACAGGAAGACATACCTTGTATCCATGTTTAATGTAACCTTCCAACAGTGTTCAAAGATAAAATGGACTGCCCTTTAGGTAGTAATAAGTGCTGCATTGCTGATGTTGCTACCATACAGGCAGATGCTCTCTCGGCAGCCGAAAGCATGTGGTTTGTAGCTTTACAGTCGGCTAAGATGATTGTATAATGTATTACATGTCTTAATGGATGTTTTTAATCTCAAGCTATTCAGTATTTTATAAAAAGCTGTAACTGTCAACCTGTTGAAAGATACTTATGTGCTGTTAATAAGCTTCCTCTTAAAATGTAAATATTAAATATTATCCCTTATTTCCAAAAAGAGGAAAAGGATTAAGGAAAATTGCATTTCATATCTTTTGTTTGTTTTGAGATTGGGTCTTGCATTGTCACTCAGGCTGGAGTACAGTGGTAGGATTATAGCTCACTGCAACCTCCGACTTCAGGGCTCAAGCAGTCTTCCTGCCTCAACCTCCTGAGTAGCTGGGATTACAGGCACATGACACCACAACACCACACCTAGATATATATATATATATATATTTTTTTTTTTTTAAGAGAGAGAGATGGGGTCTCACCATAAAACTGGTTTCAAGCTTCTAGCCCCAAGCAGTCTTCCTGCCTCGAAGTCCTACCCTCCAGCAATCCTCCTGCCTTGGCCTCCCAAAGCATATATATATATATATATATTTCTTTTTTTTTTTTGAAGGGTTTTTGTTTGTTTAATACATCTGAAAAGAATGCATATACAAAGAATTGAGACATGAGAAAGCATTGGTTCAACACTAATGAATCTACAAGAATTAGGATTGGGAAGGTGGGAAAGATTACCTCAACATTTTTAAAAATTGGAAACTGCAACCAAAATAAGCTGATAAAATCCCTATTAGCACTTATTAAGAGTCTTTATTAAGACTCTTTCCATGATTTTTATTAAACTAGAGAGCCTCACCTGGCTGCTCTAGGGTTCCTCATATGCAAAACAGAAATAAGGGGATTCCCCTGCCTGGTCCCCATGTTGTTAAGTGTTCTCCCCACCCCCACCCTACCCCCAGCTTCTTAATGAAGCAGGCCTCCATCCTCCTAACTTGAGAGGATGTGAATCATTCCACAGATGTCTGTCTTCTAGCACCACCCCTCGTATTTCCTCTACATACCAGGTCTTCAGCTGCATTCTAGGAACACCATATACTACTGAGCTGCAAATCTACGCTAAGCATGTAAGACAATGACTGAGAGGGAAAAAATTTTTTTTAATTACAAACTCAATTCATTTGGTGCATTTCAAAGGTGCAATACTTTTCTTCATTTATCAGTGAAAGAAGTTAGAAATCAACTTCCCAAAAAAAACAGTGAATGGCAAACAAATGTCCTTGAAAGTCACAGTCACATATAGTGCGTCCTAGAAAAGAGGAGGGGCAAGACAGGCTCCACCCACTTTCATGAGTTTCATCAAATACTGGATCTACTCAAGGGTGGAGAGAAAAGGCAACTTTCAAAAAGGAGTATGTTATTAAATGAGGCATTTACTATACTCCTTCCTAAGAGCACCAGATGGGGAACATGTTTTCTAAACTCGATCTAGGAAGTGGAATGTGGAATCAATCCGTCATCCTCCCCTTAAGGGCTATCCACTGGTTAATGAATTAAAAAAACAAGACTAAAAAACAAACCCCACACACACTGCCCCCCAAAAAAGAGGAGGGAAAAAAAAAAAAAAAAAAAAAACACTAAGATGTCCCAGATGTCTCCAGAGTGGAACCAGGGAGCAGCTTCAACAATTCCAATTAGTCTGTTACAGTCATCCACAAGCATGCCTTGCTTTTAAACCAAAAAAAAAAAAAAAAAAAAAAAACCACTACTTTTTTTTTTTTTTTTCAAACAACAAAACAAAAACTAGTACTAATCACTTTTCTGACAATACACAATTACTCAAAATTAACTAGTACTGGGAGGGGAAAGGGGGGGCCATACCTATGGGCCTTGTCTCACACGAGTGCATGTGGGTAGGTGCAGGGCATTTGTCATTATTGCAAAAACGAATTTTAATTTTTAATCTTTAGTTTGATTTAAACATTGCTTTTAGTATGATGCCGACACCAGCTGTGCAGAAAGGGCTCTGGAGAGATGTTCGTAGCAGCACACACCTGCGGCCCTTCTTCGGTTCTGGAGGCTCCAGGGCAGCCAATATTGCTTCGTCAAATACATTCTTGAGGCCTTTCTGTGTGAGTGCAGCACACGCCACATACTTGACAGCCTTCAGGTCACGGGCCAGCTTTTCAGCAGTCTCTGGAGTGACAGGCTTCTGTTTGTTCTTGGCAAGTTTCTCAATAGTGGAGGGGTCATCTCTGAGATCAATTTGAGTCCCAACAAGCAAGAAAGGAGTCTTTGGACAGTGGTGAGTTATGTCAGGCACCCACTTTTCTTTCACATTTTCAAATGAAGATGGAGAGACCACTGAAAAACAGACTAGAAATACATCTGTTTGTGGATAACTCAGCGGTCGTAATCTGTCATAATCCTCTTGCCCTGCAGTATCAAAAAGTCCAAGAGTATATGGTTCTCCACCAATCATAACTGTGACTGCATAGTTGTCAAAAACAGTTGGTACATATTCCGATGGAAATTTGTTTGTTGTGTAGGATATCAGGAGACATGTTTTACCAACAGCACCATCGCCCACAACAACACACTTAATTGTCTGCATTGCTGAAATAGTTTTGTATCCACTTTAAATATTTCAAATCTGATGTTGACCTCAGCTTCTCCACCGGGGCGTTGGCAGCACTCCTTTTTTTTTTTTTTTAAATACTGAGTCTCACTCTGTCACCCAGGCTGGAGTGCCATGGCACAATCTCAGCTCACTGCAATCTCTGCCTCTGGGGTTCAAGTGATTCTTCTGCCTTAGCCTCACAAGTAGCTGAGATTACAGGTGCACGCCATAATGCTTGGCTAATTTTCATTCTTTTAGTAGAGTCGGGATTTCACCATATTGGCCAGGCTGTTCTTGAACGCCTGACTTCAAGTGATCCACCCACTTTGGCCTCCTAAAGTGCTGGGATTACAGGCGTGATCCACTGCACCCGACCCCAAAGTGTATGCTTTTTTTTTTTTTTTTTTTTTTAATGATTTCTCACTGTATTAGGATAGCCTTTTTATGTGGTATACTCTGTCGCATGTGTAATGCTGAGTCTGAAACAATGCCCTTCATTCTTTACCTGACTGATTCTTTCTTGACTTAACAAAATCAGCTCAATCATCGTTTCTTCCAGAAGCCCTCTTTGTCCCTGTCCAGGTTAGACTGCCTTTCTGCATTGTTATTATGGATGTACTTGATTACCTATGTACAGGCTGGGGTGACTTAGACCCTAGAGTATTAGCTTTGTGTAGTGTCTTCAGCGTGACAGGTGCTCTTTAAGTGTGTACTGAAAGGAATAATTAATACGTACATAAATGAATACTCTATTTTTAATTGTTGGAGTTTCAAGAAAACTCTGGAAGAGCATAGGTAATAATGTAGTCATTGGGTCAGAAGTATCCTGTGATTTTATTTGGTAGCAATAAGTAAAGAAATGTGGCCAGGCTCAGTGGTTCACACTTGTAATTTTACCCAGCACTTTGGGAGGCTGAGGTAGGAGGATCACTGGAGGCCGGGAGTTCAAAGCAAGCTCAGGCAATGTACAAGATCCTGTCTCTACAAAATATACATTAGCCAGGCGTAGTGGCATACGCCTATAGTCCCAGCTACTTGGGATGCTGAGGTGAGAGAATTGCTTGAGTCCAGGAGTTGGAGGGTACACTAATATACTGCACTCCAGGCTGAGTGACAGAGCGAGACACTGTCTCTGAAACAAACAAACAAAAAAGAAATGCCATTAAAGTTTATCATCTCTCAAGAATGACAATGATAGCAACCGGTTTGGAGGTTTGAGGCATTTCCTCAGGAGAACCCAGTGCTTAGATAAAACCTCTAGGTGAAATTCCAGGGTTCCTTGACCCTTTCCAAATCTGACTAGAGTTGACAAACTCTCATCTTGGCAGGTTTGCTGACTCTCCCAGCATCTGACCTGGCGTGTTTCTCAGTCCCATTCCAAGGTGATGTTCTCTACCACTAGATGGAGCATCAGACCTCAAGTCAAGAGCATCTCAGTTCACTGCTGCTTTTGGTGGCTCTAGTCTAGGAGGGAAGGGGAGACTTTGCCATTGCATGCCAGCCTGGGTGACAAGAGTGAAACTCTGTCTAAAAAGAAAAAAAAAGAAAGAAAATGGGAGGATCTCGTTGACTTGCTAAGGATTTGGGATTTACCTTGTAGTCAGTGAAGAGCCATTGGAGGAGAATGTCAAGAGAAAAGGAAATTCTCTACTTTTTGTTTGCTCTATATTTAGTTTACCATCAATTCTGTGATTAATCTAACATGAAGACAGGCTGTGCTGGTCTGAGACTAGGGCTTAGGGGAAGGAGCACACTGCAGCAACACACAGCAGCATTTGATGGTCAGTATAGTGTGTGAGGGAGAAATAAAAACAGAGTCAAAAATTGATAGACTAGGAAGCTCAAGAAGGAGGAAAGAAGATAATGAATTTATGTTTGGAGATGTTTTTGAGGTGCCAGGTAGATTTGTCTAGAGGGGCCTAAATTTCAGGTGAAAGGCCTACAAATTGCTACTTACAGGTGTCAGATGAATCCACATGTGTAAAACAAAAGTAATCCAGTGAATATACAGAGAGCCAAAATGAAAAGTTAATGGACAACAAATAATAATGAATGTATAGAAAAAAAGACTAGGAGGATATATAACAATATGTTGATAGTTGTTTTCTCTGCTTACAGAAATTGCAAGGCAGTTTTTTTTGTATAGTTATTTTTAATATCAACCAGAAAATAAAGAGTTGAAAATAAAGTAAAAGTAAGAGCTTTGCAAAAATCAAAAGCATTAGACAAATATGAAGTTCTATAAGCAATATGTAACAAAATAATTACTTTCTGTAGGTATCTATTCCACATCTGTAACATCATCTGCCTGATCTAAAGAAGTGTATTTTAACAAAATAATGTTTTCACTTGTGAAATTACTTTTATCTGTGCCTCACTTAATCCTTGGGTAATAAGTCATTGCTATCTCCTGACACTTAGGAAAACACAACAGTTGAGATACTAATAAAGGATGCTTCGGAAAGATTGAGTCACTAGAATTGCCTCATAACAACATGGTGCTGATTCTAAAAATGCTTTGCTTTTGAGAGGGGAGTAGGAGAAAGGAAGTGGAGAGATTATATTGAGGCAGATGGCGTCAGATAAATCTAGATCCAACACCTAGCGCAGCACCTGGCACACAGTAAGCATCAAAAAATCCTTCTAGACTGAGTGAACTGAGCCATTTTGTGCTTTCATTTGTGTTTACTAATATATAAAGTACTCCTTTTTCATTTATTCTGTTTGCGTAAACTCTTAAGGAATTTTTTGGTGATAATGTGTCAATGTATTTTTCAAAATTTGTTATTAAGTTAAATTTGATACAAGCACCTTGGAATGTTTATAAATGTATTAAAAGATGTTTGGTCTATATTAAAATATCAAAATGTATTAAATTGACATGAACTATATCATAGGATACTTTTTCTTTTTCTTTTTGTTGAGACAGAGTCTTGCTCTGTTGCTCAGGCTAGAGCGCAGTGGCACAATCTCAACTCACTGCAACCTCTGCCTCCCAGGTTCGAGGGATTCTCATGCCTCAGCCTCCCAAGTAGATGAGATTACAGGCACACGCCACCACACCCACCTAATTTTTGTATTTTTAGTAGAGACAGGGTTTCACCATGTTGGCCAGGCTGGTCTCCAACTCCTGACCTCAAGTGATCCACTTACCTTGGCCTCTCAAAGTGCTGGGATTACAGGCGTGAGCCACGGCACCCTGCCCGGATTCTTTTATATTAAAGGAATTCATTATTTCTTAAACTTAGAATAGTGAACATCTTTGCTTCTAAGAATATGGAGATAGAAATGGAAATTTTCCAAATATAGGTAAAATTTCAGTGTAGGGAAGTTCTTCATTTGAAACATAGCTGTGCAGCCATAAGATTGGAAAGAGATGGACACATTTTATAAATAAGGGGGGACAAGACTAAATTGGGATAAAATATATTATAATTATGTAATGTTTTAATATAAAAGGTGAATACCAAGATCTTGGATAGTGAAGTTGAATTTTAAGAAAATTATACTTGGGAGGTCATTATAACAAACATAAAAGACTTAAATAAGAGGGCATAGCTCATTTTTTGATTATCATAGTCAAAGATTTATTTAAAGAGAACCTCTGCAGTACAAAGAATGAATTTAGCTTTCAGTATAAAATCTGTAATGTCTATATTAATCATTTTGAATCATAGTTTTTCCTCCTGAACTCTAAAGAAACTTAAAAAAATAAATGAAATCCTTTACTTTTCCTTTGATATCTGTTTCGGTTTTTTGACAATATGGAAGTAACAGACTACTAAGTTATTTCTCACAAAGGCAACCCGACACTTTTCCATAGACAGATTACTTTTTCTTAATGTTTTTTTCCTAACTACACATGTGAAGATTTCATGTCCATCATTTGTCTTTGTTTTACATAGCAAGTTCAGAGAGCCAAAGTTATGTTACATTTGATTAATCAATTTCTAAACATAAACAGGTCAAACCACAAGTGTCTAATAACATTGCTCTTCTGTTCGAAAGTAATGATCATCCTGGTACTTTAAATCTTAGAAAATCAAAGAATACAGGATTAAAATGGACTTTCACGTAGAAAAAGGATGCCAAGAATCCAATTAATATTTTTTTTTAAATCAAGCAGAATGGGCTTAAGAGATTTGGGTGTAAAATAAATGGAAATTATTTGGATGAAAATAGTTAGGCCTGTACTTCTTGGGGCCATCAGTGAAGTCAAATTAGTGTTTTCGTGACCCACCTGGGTGGTGAGAGGACAAACCTGAGGTGTGCCCCCAGAATGCATGCAGTGTGGCTGAAGGAATGAAAGTGATAAGAGAAGCCGGGCACAGTGGCTCACGCCTATAATCCCAGCACTTTGGGAAGCCGAGGTGGGTGGATCACCTGAAGTCGGGAGTTCGAGACCAGCCTGACCAATGTGGAGAAACCCTGTCTCTACTAAAAATACAAAAATTAGCTGGACATGGTGGCACATGCCTGTCATTCTAGCTACTCAGGAGGCTGAGGCAGGAGAATCGCTTGAACCCGGGAGGCAGAGGTTGCAGCGAGCCAAGATTACGCCATTGCTCTCCAGCCTGGGCAATAAGAGTGAAATTCCATCTCAAAAAAAAAAAAAAAAGAAAGAAAGTGATAATACGACAGATATGGGAGGTGTAAATGAAGAGTCTGAGGATCAAAGGTGTTCTTGGTGAAGAGGACAGAACCTCGGGAGTAGAAGCAGTCATCAAAGCTGGAATCAGATAAGAAGATGCTTTAATGAGCTAAGACTCATGCCTAAGTGGAGAAATAAGAGCTTACCTTAGGCAGAATTATGGGGAATACTCAGTCCTCTGCATAACTGTAGCAAATGTTTCAGGTCATGAATAAATGATAAAGAGATGATCTTTTAAAAACATTATCTACAAAGGAGCAAAGAAAAACATTAGAAACAGACTTCTTCATTAGTGGTAAATGCCAGAGGAATTAAAATCTCTTCAGACTTGTAAGGCAAAAGCTGTTTTTCAAGGTCAAAGACAAGACATTCTCAGACATAGAAGGATTGAGGAAAGAGATCTTTTGTGTCATAGATTACCTTAAACAAA